CAGAAGTCATGGATGGATCCCACAATCTTGAAAGTTGAGTGTAGCTGAGCTCATCCCACTGGAGAGGCGTACCATGGTGCAGGAAGCAGAAGTGTAGGCCTAGGCCATGACAGCTTCAATCCCGGCCTCTGGAGGTTCCGGAGTCGCCTTCATCCACATCTGCCAGTGGCCCAGCCAGGAGGGATGCGATGCGATGCAATCTGGTCGTGCTTAGATCTTAGAGAGATCTGTTCGTGCTTACATGCAGGATTCTCTTCGAGATCTGCCCATGTGTTCAATGCCTCAGGCCCAGTACGGCCTGACGGATCCCAAGAGCTTGGCCGAGTACCTCAACCACGCCAACATCCGTCTGGTCCGGGCCGAGTGCTCGCTGGGGATGACGCAGAAAAAACTGTCAGCTGTAAATGTCCCGTGTCACATCGTGTCACCCAAAGTCAGACCTTGCTTTAGTGCTGTCGCTCTTTCGTTCCAGGTACTTGTACGAGCTGCTGAAGTCGAAGAGCCTCTTGCCTAGACGCCAAGAAGCCGACCCAGCCTCAGACGATGCACTTGTTACATTTGTTTGCACGTCTTTTCCTGCACTGCACGTGCGGGGCGCATTCGGAACAGCGTGCGCAGGAGGAGTGGGGCCTGGTGACGCATGCAGAAGTGAAGGCGTGGGCCGCCGGAACTCGGGATGCGATGATCTGCTCGGTGTCCCACGCTTGGGAGAGTCGGGAGCATCCGGACCCATGCGCCCACCAATTGAAGTGCTTGGTCGACGTAGTGTCGCTTTACGATGCTGCCTACTTCTCGGATATTTGGTTGTTTTGTGACTTTGTGTCTCTGTTTCAGTTCAAGCGGGAGTCGGACGCAGAAGAAGAGAGCTTCCGACGGTCGATGCAGGACATGCACGTCTTGTACGCCCATGAGTGCACCCGAACTTTCCGCATAGAAAGCCTCACCCCAGACGATGTCTGGGAAGAGGCGAAAAACACTTCTGAGTATCGAGTGCGAGTGTACGACTCGGAGCGCGCTTCGGTCCGAGATCGTCCGCTGAAAGAGCTGGTTGAGAACCGGGTTCCTTACGGAACGCGCGGGTGGTGCAAGGCAGAGGTTGAGTGGTCCTCCGCCCGGAGCCATTCCCAACAGAACCACTGGATCGATGCTCCCGAGTCTCAAGACAGAAACGAGGAACTTTGGTGGTTGCATATGCAAGAGCCAGAGCTGCTGGGCAAAGTGCCCATGTCTCCGGAGACTTTTGCGGAAGAGATGAACTCGGCCGCCTTCACCCATCGGTCTGATGCCGAAGAGGTGAAGAAACTGCAGTTCAAGGTTTTCCTCCAGAAAGTCTCCGAGTGCGAAGAAGCGCTCTTCGAACGTCTGCCCGGAGGGCAGCTGGGGCAGCTGGCAAAGGCCCTGCCTTACTTCAAAAACCTGAGGGTGCTGAGGCTCCGGGAGTTTAAGGTGGGTCGAGCTGAGGCTGAGGAGTTCGCGAAGGCCGGGCTTCGCAGGTCCAAGGCAGTCTGTGCGTGCATTGCGTGCTTCGCAGTTCTAACACCGTTTGAGCCTGCATGTGCACGCCAGGCGCTGGCATCGAACCAAACGATTCGCGAGCTCGAGATACGTGGACTGAGACGTGAATATGGTTTTCTATGGGAGGCACGGGGGAGTCAACAGCTTTGACTTGAAGTGAAGGCGGAAAGGCTTTTGGGCTTCAGTGCTGCTGGATCACAGTTGCTTTCCCGCGTGAGGCGATGAACGAAGCGCTGAAAACCAACTCCACCCTCACCAGCATCAGCCTCGAAAACAACGACATCGGCGTGGAGGGTTGCAAGGCCCGGTAATGCTTCCAAGAGGTCACTGCTGCTGGAACATACTGGAGCAGGGTTTCTTTTCCCGAGTGAGGCGATCTGCGAAGCTTTGAAGAGCAACTCCACCCTCACCAGCATCAACCTCCACGGTAACCGCATCGATGTGGAGGGTTGCAAGGCCCGGTAGGGCTTCAGGCGGGTCAGCACTGCTGGAGCAGCGTTGCTTTCCTGAGCGAGGCGATGGGCGAAGCGTTGAAGTGCAACTCCACGCTCGCCAGCATCAACCTCGCAGACTGCCACATCGGCGATGAGGGTGCGGAGGCGCGGAGGGCTTCAAAGAGGTCAGAGCTGCTGGAGCAGGGTTGCTTTCCTGAGCGCGGCGATTGGCGAAGCATTGAAGATTGAAGACGAACTCCACGCTCGCCAGCACCAACCTCGAATTTAGCATCATCGGCGGTGAGGGTGGGGAGGGCTGGTTGGCTTCGGAGAGGTGAGAGCTGCTGCAGCGGAGTATCTTTCCCGAGTGAGGCGATCTGCGAAGCGTTGAAGTGCAACTCCACGCTCACCAGCATCAACCTCGAAGGCAACGTCATCGGCGATGAGGGTGCGGAGGCGCGGTGGGCTTCAGCCGGGTCAGCGCTGCTGGAGCAGGGTTGCTTTCCCGAGTGAGGCGATTTGCGAAGCTTTGGAGACCAACTCCACGCTCACCAGCATCAACCTCGCAGACTGCTACATCGGCTATGTGGGTGCGGAGGCGCGGTAGGGCTTCAGGCGTGTCAGAGCAGGGTTTCTTTCCCGGGCGAGGCGATCTGCGAAGCGTTGAAGACCAACTCGACGCTCACCATCATCAGCCTTGCAGAATGCTACATCGACGATGAGGGTGGGAAGGCCAGGTTGGCTTCAGAGAGGTGAGTGCTGCTGCGGCGGGGTATCTTTCCCGAGTGAGGCGATCTGCGAAGCGCTGAAGAGCAACTCCACGCTCACCAGCATCAGCCTCGAAAACAACGGGATCAGCAAGCAGGCGGTGATGTGGCCCAGTCGTTCAAACTTGAGCTTGTTCTTCTCCTCGCCAGGTGCTTGCCGAGATAAAGACGAGGTGCCCACCAAACGAGGATTCTCGGGCGGCCGAGGCTCTCGGGTGCATGCCTTCGCATGATACTTGCGCGTGCTGTGGGATGCCTCCACCTGGAGAAGATTTCACCCAGACCAGGCTGTCTCTGTGACTTTTTCCCTGGGTGCATAGCTTGAACCCGCATCTGGCAAGCTGGACCCATGACAACTTGTAGAGGGAGAGCCGGGCCAGATTGCAAGTTCTCAGCATTGTTGGCAGGCTGCAAGTACGGCCACGGTGCAGCTCTGAGTGATCTACCTTGAAAGAGCGCCCATGCCCGGCTGCTTGGGCTCTGCAGATAAGGCTCCGGAAGCTGCAAAGGCTTGGACGGGGCGAGTGCGCATAGAGGACCGTTGCCGAGCCCGCCGTGAGACACCGGGGGAGCCGCGTGCCACTCACTCTGCAGGACCTCGTTAAGCGACTGAACGTTCTCTGCAACCCCAGCAAGTTGAGCTTCGGGTCGAGTCCTCTCGACGTCGAAACGGTACAGGCCCGGTGGGCTTCAAAAAGGTTAGTGCTGCTGCAGCGGAGTATCTTTCCCGAGTGAGGCGATCTGCGAAGCGTTGAAGTGCAACTCCACGCTCGCCAGCATCAACCTCGCAGACTGCCAAATCGGCGATGAGGGTGCGGAGGCGCGGTGGGCTTCCGGCGGGTCAGATTTGCTCGAGCAGGGTTTCTTTCCCGCGTGAGGTGATTGGCGAAGCGCTGAAGACCAACTCGACGCTCACCAGCATCGACCTGAAGTACAACAGCATCGGTGTGGAGGGTGGGAAGGCCCGGTGGTGCCAGGGATGGGCACAAGCAGAGGGGTTCTTTTGGTTCCAAAGGTCCGCCAGCAGTAGCCACCGCTGTCTTGCCGTTTCCCTGCGAGGCGCTTGCCGAGGCTCTGAAAAGCAACACAGTTTGCAAAATTGAGCTCTACGGAAACGACATCCCGTTCGAGCGCCAGCAGGCCTGGGCGGTTCGCAGGGCTCGTGCGCGGTTTCCGAAGCCTTGTCCTCCACAGGCCCTCGCGGAAGCTACCGGGGTAAGGCCCGGCGGGGTCCCGGAGAGAGAGCGACTTCTGAGGGTTTTTTTGGCACGGCCTCCCGTCATGCACCACCTGCCCTGCTGAGGCTGCGCTTTGATTATAAAATGATTGATTCGTGATCCTGATCCCGATCTCCGTGAGGTGCTCGGGGCCAGTGGGGCAAGCCCGCTTCCACATCATTCTCAACCCTACGCGGTCCCTAAACCCCTAGACCTTAAACCCTAAACCCCAAACCCCAAACGCCCTAAATCCTAAACCCTAAACCCCATAAACCCAGAAACCCTTAAACCCTAAACCCCAAACCCCAAACCCCCACATCGCCCCCTCCGGCCCAAGAAACTTCCAGCATCAAACGCGGTCGAGGCCAGAACCCAAGTGAGCCTTGCACCGGTGAGGGCAATCTGGATGAAGATCATTTCAGGATATTTTAGGGTTTAGGGGTTTAGGGTTATGGGTTTTGGGTTTAGGGTTTTGGGTTTAGGGGTTTAGGGTTTTGGGCTTAGGGTTTAGGGTTTAAGAATTTGGGCTTCGGGTTTGGGGTGTATTTAGACTGGTTTAGGATGAGGAAGCACCGCAAGCGGGCAGCATCTACGACCTGCGCACACAGCCGAAGAGCCCGCGCAGCGTTGCGGAGAAGATTTGAAGGGGGTACTATATAGTTAGTTATTGAAATTAGCCTACATTTCAGAAAAGAGTATTTTCGAGTCGAGTATGCTTGCATGGTATAGCAGCTCTCCAAAAGAGTCAAATCATCCGTCGGGCCACTTGTCCGGACCGCCGCCCTGCGGCAAGCTCCGATCGAGTCTGCAGCCCTGGACCTCGCAGGTGCGGTTTGAATGATTTTGAGAGTTTCGGGATTGCGGGTCTCGGTTGGCGTTTGGTAGCCTTTCATGCTTAACTTCAGCTATCCCCTGCGCACCTGTTGCTCCGTAAGTATGGGCATGAGGGCAGGGCAGTGCTTCTTGCAGCTCTCGATCGTTCCATGTGGGTAGTTTTCCAAATTAGGGTCCCCTTTTAGGTCCCCAATATAGTACGGCACACTGCCCTAAACTAAACCCCTAAACCCTAAACCCCTACTTAATTTAGAGAACGAGAACTACTCCCACATGCGGAGTGTGCAAAGATGTCAGCGTCTGAGAGCCGTGCAGACCTGAAGCGGGCCTCGTCCCTAAGGCCACTGCCAACTTTCACCGGTTTATAGGGTTTTTAGGGTTTTTGGTTTTGGGGTTTAGGGTTTTTTAGTGTTTGAAGCGGGAAGGATGCTCGGCTCGGAGACTGCTTTGGTGCCTCCGCTTCCTGCGAGCTTCAAACGCCGCTGCGACGCGTAATTGGCGCCTGCCGGAAAAGAGTTCGCATCCAACTTGTGTGCAGTTTGGGCCTGAGCCCTAAAAGTTTCCAGGCCCGTGGATGATTCTCAGGGCTTTGGGCGCTTCCGAAAGCTTCGGGTCCTTCGGGGGTGGCTTCCGACTCGAGCCCAGCCCGAACCTATCTTCAGGCCAACAGCACTAAGCCACCGGGTTTAGGTGGGTTTAGGGTTTTTAGGGGGTTTAGACGGGAGATGAGTTTAGGGTTTTTGGTTTAGGATCCGGAAAGCCCAAGCAGAGTGGTGAATCACTCAAGCCCCAGAGGACCCCCCCAAAGCCGCAACGATGCCTTCAAAGCCCGACAGTGGCCCCGGAGCCTTCCGAAAGTTTGTGCCCTGAAACCCTGAACCCCAAGCCCCAAAGCTCAAGCCCCAAAACCCTAAATCCTCAACCCCATAAACCCTAAACCCCAAACCCTAAACCCCAAAAAACCTTAAAACTTAAGCCCTTTTTTAACCCTAAACCCTAAGCTTTTCTGTGCTTTGGGGGTCCTTCGCGCCAGGTCCTGAGTCGGCCCAGACACCAGGAGTCCAGTGGCGACGAAGGAGGAGAGAGCAGAGGGTTTAGGGCTTATTAGGGTTTAGGGTTTAGGGGTTTGAGTTCTTTGGGCTTTGGGTTTAGGGTTTGAGTTCTTTGGGCTTGGGGCTGAAGGTTTAGGGCTTTGCTTGGGTTCAGGTTGAGGATAGTAGGTCGAGGGTGGTAGTCAAGGTTGTGGCTTTAGGGGCTGTTGGGTGTTTAAGGCTGCGGTCTGTCATGATGATTTGGGTTTCGAGTTCACTGCGCCCAGAAGATGATCAAGGATGCAAGATGGTGTGTGGGCTCTCAATTAGGGCGGGTAGGGAGGTCTGGGAAGGCTTACCGAGGTGACGCGCGGGGTCTTGACTGCAGTGAGGCCTGGTTCTCAGAGATTTCGCTTCGGATTCCATCTCTAAGGGGCATATTGAGCATACACAATCATATTCGCACTCGTAAGAATCACTCGCATCGCATCATCGCCACACCAAACTAATAAGTTTTCTGAAGTTTTCGTGGCATGGAGCACAATCGCGGAGTTGTAGTGGCTCTTTTGTCCAATTTTTGTCGGTCCTGTGCAAGCTGCACCACTGTTTGGGAAGCGGGGGGGTTGCACTTCCCCTGAGCTTTGTGTCCAGTTACGGCCCGCTGCCCAGAGCTGCGGAGACAGAACTAATCGAGGCCGGCGAGCACCCCAAAATAAGCCTGGAACTTCCTGCTTTCGGAACCTTATGAAAGCCATGCTCCAGCCTTGCATCCGACGTTTAAACCCCTAAACCCTTAAATCCTAAAACCCCAAACCCTAAGCCCCAAAGGTCAGTCGAGTTACAGTTATAGTGTTATCCTCAACCCTAAAACCCCCAAACCCTAAACCCCTAAAATCCTTAAAACCCTAAAAAAGGAGCCCTTCCTTAATGTATTACCCTCAACCCCAAACCCTAAACCCCTAAAGCCCTAAATCCTAAACCCTGAACCCCTAAAGTCCTTAAACCCTAAACCCCCTAAACCCTAAACCCCTAAAGCACTTAAAAAGGAGCGCCCTTCCTTAAAGAGGAGCCCTTTGAAGCCGAGAGGCTCCTGGGCTTTGTCGGAGCGGCCTCGTTGCCTCGGTGCGGTGGAGGCGTCACTGGGTCCTTGTTGGATACACTTTTGCGTTTTTGTTATGACCAAAACCCAATCATAAGGGTTTGTAGGGTTTCAGGGCATCTTTGTTATAACAAAACCCAATAAGGGTTTTAGGGTTTTAGGTTTGGGGTTTAGGGGTTTAGGGTTTAGGGTTTAGGGAATATGTTTAGCTTTTGGGGCATGGTCCCTTCAATTACCAGGGCCTTAGTATCATTTTTTCCGAAGGTTTGGAGGGTCAACCTAGAGAATATAGAGTTTCAGGCGACGGTATATATTCCTTAAAGTACAGGTGGAGGGGGTCTCTGGCAGTACCACCTGGTCCGTGACATAAGACCCTAAATCCCAAAACTCCTAAACCCTAAACCCTAAAACCCTAAACCCCGAAGCCCTCAACCCCTTAAGCTCTAAAACCCTGAAGCCCTAAAACCCTAAACCCTCAACCCTAAAGCCCTAAACCCTAAAACCCTCAACCCTGTTTTGCCGGAAACGGATCCTCGGAGCTTCAGCAGCCCGGAGCAGCTGGCCCAGCCCCTCCGCAAAGCGAAAAAGCCAGCGCTCTCTTCCTGAACCCCCCCCCTACCAAAGCTCCCGAGACTCCTTCCCGGAAGCCCTTCAGCCACCCCCCGAAAGAGAAACAAGCCCATAAATTTCGAGGTCTTAAATAAACAGTAAACACAAAATTTTGAGGCTTGAACCTTGTAAAGCTTCGGACCTTAGAGGCTCAAAAGCCCCCTAAAACTTAGCCCTCAAAGCTGAGGCAGAAGCGGTTGGGCAGGGTTTGAAGCGTCCTTTTCGTCTCCCCCCGGTTTCCAGCACCAGGCGGCCGGCAGATCGAGGAGGCATGGAGGGGTATAAGGGAGCTTTTGTTGCTTATATATGTTCTTTTTTTTGGGGAAGCCTTGTGCTTTTGTTGTGCGTCTTTTTCAGCGATTTTGTTTGGGGCTTTAGGCCTTCAAGCTTTGAGGTTTAGTTTGGGGCTTCACCTCGGGTCTACGGAGTCTACGGTTCTTAGGGTTTTTTTAGTGTTTAGGGTTTTAGTGGCTTAGGATGGGGTGGCCGACGTTGATCAATGGACGGCCTTTCTTTCAGGGCCTTAATCGCGGAATCCCTCATCTCCACATCTTGCTCTTGGTGTTGGAGCTTCGTGACGTAACTCACCCAGTGTCTGGGTAGTGCTAGGTGGGCTTGCCGAAGCGCTCAGGAGCTTCCGCATAGCATTCTTCGGCTTGGCGCCCCAATCTGCAGTGCTGGATTTTCGGGCGCTGGAGTAAGTGTGGTCGACTGGTGACTGGTGGCCTTCAAACTTTCGAGGTTTTCGCTTGTAAACCCTCCGCGGAAATCCCGCATCCCACGGAGCCAGAATCCCCAAACCCCAAACCTTGAAAATCCTGACAAAGAAGGCTTGAGGCAATGAGGCCACGGGCCGAAGGCCAAGGATATCAGAGTACCGGCTGTCGGGGATTCTGGGGGGGGCAGGGGGGGGGAGGCTGTCGGCTTCGTGCTTGTGGGATTTCTCCACTCCGGGGCAGCGGTAGAGGTAGGGCTGGGTCAGCTTCTTCCCCAGAAGCCTCGACCTTCACTGCAGAGATCTCACTTTTTTGGGGCCCCTTCGCTGCCAGGATCAGGACTTCGGGTCGATCTTGGATCCCGAGGTAGCGATGCCACCTTTTACATGTCCGTGCCAAATACTTGCCTAGCTGGTTCCAACCGCCAAGTCAGGGGAGATCGATATAAACACTTGTAGTTGATGACAGTCATAACATACCAGACATTGGTATCCCAGCCCGCCTTGGCAGATTGCGCCTGCCATTCTCCTTTGCGCTCTCCAGTCGATTCAGTGTGGCTCAAGCCGGTAGGTTGAACCCTGAGATTCCGTGCCCCAGCCTGAATGGCGGTGAGCTGTTACAGCCTAATGCTCAGACTTCGTGACTTTGGTGATGTGAGTCAGTGAGGGTCTGTCGCCTCAAACAGAGCTGCCTTCCACGGATCTGCATGCAAAGCTGGTTCCGGTGCTTGCAAGCTTTGACACCGTCGGTGAGCGAAAGACAGTCACAAATCTCTCTCCGATGGGATGGGGCAGCACGTTTCCAAGGCCGAGCCTGACCTGACACCAACGAAATCCGGAGCTCTAAACACGGAACACTCCGAAAAACGGTGTGCACAGCCACCCACCAAGCTAGACCCAAGACGACCCAAGCAACCGAGGCTGCTTTCAATGGCTTTCTGATTCTCGTCCCAGAGCGGAAGCGCCGATCGCCGAGGCCGCGGCGGTTTTTTTTTGGGGTTCAGGGTTCGATCACAGCAGTTTTCTTCACATTTCCGGGTTTGGGGAAAGCGGTTCTGCAGGAACACGCGACCTGGTCTCACTGCAGAGTGGGGCGAGGGTCTCACTGTATACGTGCTGACAGAAGTCATGGATGAATCCCACAATGAGAGAGCCGCAGCGCAAGAGACTCGAAACTGGGAGACCTGCGAGTGGACAGTTTGATGATGATGTAAGCATCCTCTTCGTAGGCCAACAGCCCTGGCATTCCGGGGGGTTCGGGCGAGCGCAAAGCAAGATCAGTCTGGTGTGTGACCAACTCTTCGAGCGACCTCTCAGGGGACATAGCCTACGGCCCTTCTCCTACATACCTACTATCACCCTCCCTAGCCGAAGCTAGGCCCACATGCTTCAGTCAGTTCAGAACGCAGCTTCTTATCGAAGTTTTGGCATTCGGGACAGGGCTCACAGACTGCCAGGGTCGTTTCAGACTTTGGGGGGCGGGGGGCGGGACCGCTGGTCGAGTTTCTCCGAAGCATCTTCCAATCCGCGTCGTGCCTTCCCCTGCTTGTCGTGCAGGATTCGGAGAGCAGTTTTTCTCCATAACTCGCAGGTGACTGGGACGGCCTTGCGCGGGTGGGCAGTGCAGAAACAATGGCAGCTATCTAAATCTATCGTAGGGGAAGGATTGTCGATAACGGAGACCTTTGGATACAGGTTAGGTCTTGAAAAGCGTTGGCGTGTGGATTATGATTCGACTAACCATGTGTGAGCCCCTTATGATTTAAGGAAACCTCAAAATTCCCCCTACACCTTACACCGGCAAGCCTTAACCGCAGTTTAAAGGGAATTTGCCCAGGCGGCCGCCCCTCTGGAGCCAGCGCAGCCTCCGCCACAGGTGCGACACTTAAGTCAAGGCTCTAAGGGCTGTGTGGGGAATCGAGGCTACACGGGGTAAGGCGCTGTCTAAATCTATCCTCAGGTCAGGTCTTGAGAAGCGTTGGGGGATTGCACAGAGATGTAGAGTCGGGGGGTTTGGGCTTGAGAGTTTAGGGCTTACTGTAGGCCTGGGGAGTAGGACGGGTTCCGTGTGGATTATGATTCGACTAACCATGTATGAGCCCCTTCTGATTTAAGGTGTTTACCCATAAACCCGTTCTAAACTCGTGTAACACCCTTCGAAACATCGAATATCATCCAAATCATGTTCCTTAATTACAGGGGTGTTCGATTTCTGGGAAGGCTCGAAATCCCCCCCAAACCTTACACCGGCAAACCTTAACCGCAGTTTACAGGGAATTTGCCCAGGCGGCCGCCCCTCCGGAGCCAGCGCAGCCTCCGCCACAGGTGCGACACGTAAGTCAAGGCTCTAAGGGCTGTGTGGGAATTTGGGGCTACACGGGGTAAGGAGCGGTCTAAATCTATCATAGGAAGGATTGTCGATAGCGGAGCAATGGAGGGTTTTTTCCAGCAGGAGCGTGCGCTCGATCGTATTTGCCCAAATCAGATGTGTCAAACTTGAGTGTCGCTGAGCTCGTCCCACTGGAGAAGCATACCATGGTGCAGGAAGCAGAAGTGTAGGCCTAGGCCATGACAGCTTCAATCCCGGCCTCTGGAGGTTCCGGAGTCGCCTTCATCCACATCTGCCAGCGGCCCAGCCAGGAGGGATGCGATGCGATGTAACCTGGTCGTGCTGACATGCAGAATTCTCTTCGAGAGATCTGCCCATGTGTTCAATGCCTCAGGCCCAGTACAGCTTGACGGATCCCAAGAGCTTGGCCGAGTACCTCAACCACGCCAACATCCGCTTGGTCCGGGCCGAGTGCTCGCCGGGGATGTGGCAGAAAAAGCATGTTAGCTGTAAATGGCCCCGTGTCACGTCGTGTCACCAACTCAGACTTTGCTTTAGCTGTCGCTCTTTCGCCAGATGGTGTCGGATGGTTTCAGGTACTTGTACGAGCTGCTGAAGTCGAAGAGCCTCCTGCCTAGACGCGAAGCCGACCCAGCCTCAGACGACGCACTTGTTTGCAAGTCTTTTTCCCTTGCACTGCACGTGCGGGGCGCATTCGGAAC